GCAGGATCCAATTCGATTTGGAATTAGAAACCGTGGATCTTGATCTGATCCCTTTTAGCAATCCCAGCCTGGACCAAGAACTGAGACACTTTCTTCCTCTGATCGCCTTGGAGCTGAATGATCTTGCCTAGCTCTTTGTCCTGCACAACGTTCCCGTTGCAGCAGAAATCCTTCTTGAGATCCTTGAGAATCCTCTCGTAGGAGTAATCTTTCTTCAGACCTTGAACAGTGGTCAAGCTCTTTTTGCCATTCCTCTGCTGGATACGGATGTGAATGTACTCTTTTGTCCCTGGTGCATCTGTGTCTTGAGCTTCTGCAAAAGGATCGAATGCTGATGGGATCTGGATGTCTAGTTCAACCATGTAAACTTCTTGACTGCTTGATGAAACTAAACGACGGCTCTTCTTAACTTGCTCGATTCTCTCTGCAGGGAGGGGGAAAAGAATCAAGATTAAGGAAACCGAAGTTTAGACTAAAAAAATCAACAACAAACAAATCCAAAACGGAGCATGAACATACACAAGAACAGATATGAAATCATCTGTGACCCTAATAGGACAATTAATCTCTAATTCACGCCCCAAAATTGACAATTAATAATTTGAGAGGAGATTATCCAAAACCGACCCATAGAAATCAAAACTTGTCAAACCCTAACAATCAAGTAAATCAATTCGCAGTTTGTGCAGAGATTCCTCCTAAATCAGACATCCGAAACCATAAAACAAACAAGAAAATAAAAAAAAGGAGAACGTAAAATCGTACCAAGCCGATTCAGGAATTGAAACACCCTAACCGAATAAAAACGATCAATCAAAGAACAAGACGAACAAAACAGGAAGATGAAATCTTCGATGATGAATCAAATCAACGAAAGCAAAAGAAAGAATGAATGACGAACCTGAAGGAGTGAGGGGAAGAAGAAGAAGATCCGAGTCTTTCGGGATTTGTTTAGTCAATTGATGCATGAAGAAGGAAGCAGAGGAAAGGGTCTCTACTTATAGGGCTTTTTTTTTATGCTCCGATTTAACCTTCCTTTTATGGCGGTTCAATCGTAGCCGCAGATCAAGCATTTAATATGGACACGTGTATGGATAAGTTCTATTAAATCGACCACTACCAGGTTGGATGGTTGTATTTGTATCACGTTCCGAATAAAATTGAGTGTGAGAAGCAGAGAATCATTACTCTGTCGCTTACAACTTACGCTCAACTCTCAATTATCCATGGGCCCCATCAAAGAGCATAAATAAATAAATGGGCCCCGTGTAATAGGAGCCACAAGTGGGTCCACTGTCATCTACACTGCCTAGAATATTCGCGATGTATATGTCTTTAATTTCATATATACTAGATTTTGATTCACGACAAACATGGGATTAAATACTTAAATATATTTTTTTAATTAATCTTAATATTTAGACGTGTATTCTAAATCTTTATGAATGTACAAAATAATAGGTATTGCATATAAATATAATAAAATTAAATTTTGATTAAACATATTTGGGGCAATTACAAAAATGCCACTTTTTGTGTGCACATTTGCAAAAATGCCACTTAGGGGTATTCATTTACAAAAATGCCACTAATTATAGATTTATAAAGTCTATATTTTAAAATTCTAAACTTTAAAAAATGTTTTGACACATAAAACCTCCTAAACACTCAAAACTAAACCCTAATAGAACATAATTAACCCAAACATAAATAATATAAAGAAAAAATAATTTTGAAAAAGTGGCATTTTTGTAAAGATTTCAAAAGTGTGGCATTTTTGTAAAGTGATACTTAAAAAGTGGCATTTTTTGAAATTTCTCAACATATTTTGATGTCATATGTTTTGATCAATTTTGCATAAAAATATTAAAACTAATGCAAATAATATTTATTTCAATTTATTTGAAGTATAAAATTGATTTTTTATTATTATGTAAATTATAGAGCAGTCGATAAATCAAATAAATTTTAAATTTATATGAGTTTGTCGGAAATAGCAAACGAAAAATATATGTTTTCTAATAACCAAATTTAAAAATATTTGTAAGCGAAGTTATCATCTAAAAATAAATAATATTGTTACAAATATAATAATGAAAATATTTTTAATATATCAAATATTTTTAAAAAAAATATATGATGTGGTAAGTCTTAATTTGGTGGGTAATAAAGCTAATATATAGTTGGATTTTTCTAATTATTTGCATCATGTCATTAAGAATTTTTAATACTCCTTACGTGTCAAAATATAAGTTGTTTTGGCTAAAAATGCGAATATTAAGAAATTACTTTTCTTCTAAAAAAATCATATTATATATAATAAAAATAATTTAACCAATGAACAAAACGACTGAAAAATACTATTGGTCACACAATAATCAATAAAATTAAAAAGTATCGAAGATTATCAAAACAATTTATATTTTGAAACATAAAAAAACCTCCAAAACAACTTATATTTTGAAACGGATGGAATAACTTTCATTAAGAGTTTCTTAAAATCCGTTTTGGATGACATCTATGATTTTTTACCTAGTATTTCCTCTATTAATTATATAGAAGATAGTGTCGTATATAGATAACCATCGATGGTAGCTTCTAGCTAGGTTTGGCCGTAAATCTTTGTTGAAAAGAAAATAAGATATCCTCACGTCCTTTATTTGTTAAAAATAAAACCATCAGAATTAATTAGCACAAATTCATGCCATAAAAAAGTTTATTTGACTCGTTGGCAATTATTATTCTTTAATAAAACCTATATAGGCTGCGTAATTTAGCCAAGAGAATTTGTTGGCAATTATTATTGGACTTAGTAAAATTTGAAACGAATATGGGATGCCTAGCTTTAAATTTGATGGGTAACTTAGGTGAAATAATATACTTGGGCTTTCTTAATTATTTGCCTAAGAATTTTTGAAAACCTTCTTTAAAATTTTTTTTAAAATCCTCTCATGTTTGACATCTAGAATTTTTATCCAATGTCTCGATTAGATAGAAAAATAGAAGTAAAATTTGATATATGTAGTTGTCTGACAAAAGAAGAGGACCGTCTTATTGCAACTTTGTTCGATACTTTTTTAATTTATTTTATAACATCACCGAATTTACATTGATAAAGTCTTCTGAAGGACAACAAGTTGCAACCATTTTAAACCAATCAATAAGAGGAGCTTCAAATGTGTGTTTCCCTTGTTTAATAAGATTACTTATAAATTTCTTTCTTTTTGTTAAAGAATATGTTCTATATCCTGACAGTAAACGCACAAGTATGCAATTTTTGTGATCAAATCGATGACACCAGTTAAAAAATAACGAGGAAACAAATGAAATTTCAGTTGAACTTTTAAATCAAAAACTCACTTATTTCTCAAACTTCGGATGATGTAAGGAAGCATACCGTCATGATCATAGTATGCTAGTTCCACCTAAATCATTCCCATAAATCCAAGTCAGACTATTTGAATATGGTCTACAAGTCAAATTAAAGCTTGTTCCAAATAGTTTTATGATTTACCTCTGTGTCTAACCGCAAAATGCATACAAAAGATTTAGCAGTGTCGGAGGTCACGGTTATGACTTGATCCGGTTTCATCTCACTAACATTGCTAGGAAGATGGATTGTGTAGCGTTCACGACCGGTCAGTCCAAGAGTTTCCGCATCCTCGCCAGGCTTGAAACACAGAGGAACAATCCCCACACTTGCCAAGTTACTCCTGTGGATTCTATCAAAGCTCTTGGCAATGATAGCTTTTACTCCCTATAATTAATGTCAAGTTAAAAACTTCATGGTTACATAGAACATATAACCAAGACCCGAATCCTTTTTTCCATGTTTTGATATAGCAATATATGATATTATGGTTACCAGAAGCTTTGGACCTTTTGCAGCCCAATCCCGTGACTTACCAGTTCCATACTCTGCACCAGCTAGTATGATCGTATCCTGTCCAGCGGTTTTGTATCTCTGCTGATATGTTCGAATGATACATAAGTGATTGGATTAAGTTTCCGAAGCTGTAAGAGAGAATTGGACTCACACTTGCTGCATCAAAAACGCAAATTTTCTCTCCAGTGGGAATGTGAACTGTCTTGGGGCCAACTTCTCCATTTAAGAGCTTGTTAACAATACGGATATTGGCGAATGTGCCACGAGTCATCACCTCATGGTTTCCTCGACGACTTCCATACGAGTTGAAATCAGACTGACACATTGAATATTGGTCAGCGAGAAACTTTGCAGCAGGGCTGTCTTTGTGGATATTTCCTGCTGGGGAAATGTGATCTGTGGTTATGTTGTCTCCAAAATGTAGTAAGCAATAAGCATCTTTCACTTCACGTGGACCAGGTGGATTCGTGGTCATGTTCTTGAAATACGGAGGTTCATGAATGTATGTCGAGTTTGAATCCCAAGAATAGAGTGTAGAACTTGGTGACACAGAATCTCTCTTTGTTATTGTCTCGTAAGTGCTCTTGAACATGCTTTGTAACACACTATTTTGAAGAGCCTATTCAAAAATAACCAGTAAAAAAGCTCAAAAAGAGAGTTAAGAAAATCAGAGATAAATTGTGGAAGTGAGTAATGTACCTGAGTAACTTCTTCACTGCTTGCCCATATGTCCCTTAAGTAAACACTTTTTCCATCTTTGCCAGTTCCTATTGGCTCTGTCTCAAAGTCGATGTTAACCTGTAAGCATAAGAGACATCTAAGATAAAAGAGAAACAAGATGGAGACAAATTAGATCAATTTCGAAGTGTTAGGAGACATGAAATCCCTCCGCCAATGAGATGATTGAGTACAAACCGTCCCAGCAAGCGCGTATGCGACAACTAGTGGTGGCGAAGCAAGATAGTTTGCTTTTACAAACGCATGAACACGACTTTCAAAGCCTCTACTACTAGATAACACAGCAGCCGCAACTATATCTGTGGCAGAAGAGAGAAAGAAAGGGACACAATAAAACTGAGCTTCAAAAGAGATTTCAGAAACCAAATCTTATAAACAAACAGTTAAGCACAACAGGTAATAATGTAAAAGTTCTTTAACGCATAGTAAAGGACAGAGTGTTACCATTTTCTGAAACAGCAGATGCAATTGACTCATCAAGTTGGCCAGAGCCCCAAATGCATGTTGTGTAACCCTGGCCAACAATTTGGAATCCTTGCTTGCCCAAGTACTCTTGCAGCCCACTGAAGAGAAGGTAAGAAGTAGGTTAAGAATGATACCAAAGATCCAATATATCGTTCGAAACAGAAAATTTAGTGCCTCCAATAAACCTTTGAAGCAGATACTCCTTGACAACTCCATAACCAGGAGCAAGACTTGTCCTGACCCATGGTTTTACCTGAATTGCAATGTCAAGACATGGTTTATAACCCAATCCAAATGACAAAACTCAATAGCAGAATGAAATACTCACTTTCAAGCCCATGTCATAAGTGTTTTTAGCAACAAGTGCAGCCGCAACCATGTCACAAGGACTTGACATGGTGTTACCACTCGTAATGGTCGCAATAAGAACACTACCATGTTTTAGCTCAGCAGGTTGTCCCATGAATGAAAATTTAGCAATTTTGTCTTGTTCTTCTTTCGGGATTGCAAATCCCTTGAGGAGACCAAGTCATAAAGATTATCCAAAATGAAACAAATTAAATTGGTTGGTTCTTTAAAGTAAAGCCTATTTGCATCTCACCTTGAATCCGAGAGGATTGTCAAGGCATGCCTTCCAGTCAGCCTTCATGTCTTTCAAAAGAACTCGGTCGCGAGGTCTGTTGAGTAAAACATAAAAGAAAGACTCAAAAGTAAAAAATGGATGCTCAAGTTAGATGATGACTTATAGAAGTGAAAGCATACCTTTTTGGACCACAAATACATGGCTCAACATCTCCCAAATCCAATTGCAGACAAGATGTATATGCTCTTTCTTGTTGCGGCTGCAAGACTAAGCCAATTTGGGGTCCAGAATTTTGACCAAATTGAGAATTTCAATTATAGTGAAATGACAAGGTATGTTCTTACCTCATTGTAGTCAACAAACATCTTGTTTGCGCGTAAGTATGATTCAGTCATTGCCACCTAAACAAGTACAACAAGATAAATGTATACAAACCATAAGAAGAAATAAGATACTTAATGATATACAAATTCAAGAACGTAGTGAAACTACAATGATTCAATAAAAGGTAACTCTCACAGTTTCATTGTTTCTTCCCTTCAACTTCAGGTACTTCAGTGTAACATGATCAACAGGGAAGAAACCCATTGTTGTCCCATATTCAGGGGACATCTTTGCAATCCTAGCTCTATCATCTAGTGACAGTTCACTCATTCCCTCTCCTCCATATTCACAAAAACAGATGACAAATCATGTACACTGAAAACTTAATTGCACTCTCCAAAATTTCAAAGATTACACGACTATTAATCTCACCATAAAACTCAACAAAACTGCCAAAAACACCATGCTTCCTTAACATTTGAATCACAGTTGGAACCAAATCAGTACGCGAAACTCCAACCCGCAACTTTCCAACCAACTTAAGTCCAACCACACTAGGTAGCACCACGCTGATGGGCTGTCAATTATTAAAGTACCAAATCAGGGGAAAGTCTAAACTTTACGATATGCACGTTTTACACAAATGTAGCCCACCTGGCCAAGTATTGCTGCTTCTGCCTCAATTCCTCCAACCTCCCACCCAGCGATTCCTAACCCACCCATCGTTGTTGTGTCGGAATATGTACCAACAACACTATCAGGATAGATAAATCCCTCTGAGTTAAAAACAACACGTCCGAGATACTCCAAGTCTACCTGCAAATTGAAAATGGAAATATCATCATAACACAGTAACATTATCAGAAGTCCAGACTAGAACAACGGCAACATTATGTACCTGATGAACAATATGAGACCCTGGAGAAGCCATCACCATGTTGTAAAAGGCTGATGAACCCCACTTAAGGAACATAAACCTTTCCCAATTCCTGTCAGATTCTAGCTCCATACCTTTTCGCAGATCTTTTTCTGGTTTTGCACCACAAACTTGGACTGAGTGATCAAAAACAAGTTCAACAGGAAGCTGCAAAATGAACTAGAAAATGATGAGAACACGACAATGAAGTGAGCTACTTAATCCAATGCATAACATATGAGAAAGTAAATGCTTTAGATTCGACATATAAAAGAATTATAATCAGTTAAGTAACCTGCGGATTAATCTTGTTAGGATCACTTCCAAGATTCTTCATGGCATCCCTCATAGCAGCAAGATCAACTATTACTGGTACTCCAGTAAAATCCTAGCCAAGAAAATGTAGTATTAAGTAATATAAATTGAAAAACGTTTTCAGATGTAAGAAGAAGAAAAATAAAATTATACCAGATACCTGTAAAATAGCACGGGCAGGTTTAAAGGGGATCACAACTTTCTTAGGAGATGTATTCTCCCAATCCATTATTTTCTCAACATCATCCTTTGTGATGTGAAAGTTGTCACAATTGCGAATAGCTGATTCCAGTAGTATCCGAACGGAGTACGGTAACCTATCTGCAACATTAAGAAATAAGTGGTTATATAGTCAGGAGTAAACCATGACAACAAACAGATTTGAGGTAACATAAAATGTTTCATGATCGCAAACCTACCGGTTCTTGGATCGTTTAAAGCTGGTAAGGAGTAGAACTTTCCATACTCTCCACCACCAGGCTTAGGGAGAGTTGTTAAGATACCCTTGTAGGCATGTTCAGAAGCTACATTTTCACAGCAAAACTATATTCTAAACAAAAATTGATACAAAGTAATCAAATTAGGTACAAATCAAAAATCGAGAATGCGTCAAGCACATTTAAGTTCATCTGTGTATGCCCAAAATATAAAACACATCAGCAAATTGAATACGGATTCTTGTAAAGCATGCTAAGAGAAACGATTTTACAAACAAAGATAATCATCAAGTATTACCAATGGTGGTGAATTTCTGCTCAAATTTCTCAATCATTGGAGTAGTGATCCTGCTTTGAGCACGGAGACTAGAAGGTGACCTCCAATTAGCACCATGACTCCACCGCGTGACGGCAGAGCATACTCGAAACGAGCGGATAGCTGAGTAGAAGCTCACGAATCCGTTCGAGGCAGAAGACATCTTCCATAGAGAAGAAGAAACCCTCCTGAGGGAAATTGAAGCAAATTGCGCGCCGAAAGAGGCATGCCTATACATGGCCAAAAATCAAAACAACATTGGTGATCAGAGAACTCCAAAGGAAGGAGCCGAATGATCAATCGAAACCCTGAAACAGGTTGAAGGGAGAGATAGTGGAAGCAACGAGAGATTGAGAAGTCATCAAGCTTCTGTTATTTTTCTACCAAGAAGGAGACACACATTTACAAATTGAGGAGGCCACGTCTGGTAAATTATAATTAAGGAAAGAAAGGATTCTACCAAATGCCTTTTTAAAATAAATCATTGGCATCTTTGAATGTTATCTCTACTTGCTTAGTATGTCCTTCTGCTCAAGACAATCAACTCACATACCAATCCAAGACAATCAGAGTAATGAATCTGCCAAAAGCTGAGAAGCAAGAATGACCGAAACAAGAAGCAGAGGAAACAATTTCTTATTATTTTGCACTCAAACAGCTTTAACCTCGGATTGTTTTCCCATTCAGATGGGTTTAAAAAGGATACACACTACTTTTAGATAAAACGACAAAGGAACTACGAAATCTGAAATATACGATGCAGGCATCTTTCGAAACTCTACTGAGGATTCGGGGGACGACTATTAGCAGCAGAGACTCTAGATCCCCACTCCAAAAGCTCCTTGCTTGTATCATCTTTGTGTAGTATCACTTCAATGAAACACAAGCTCTCTTTTTCCTCATTAGTTGCAGTGTTAATCGCTTCCACTAGCTCATCCTCGCATCTCACCTTGGCAGTCCAGCATTTACCTTCTCCGTTGTGTATAGCATCAACAAAAGCTGTGTAGTTCCAGTTCTTTATGACATTGTAAGGACCATCATGAATCTCCACTTCAATGGTGTAGCCTCCGTTGTTGATAAGGAAGATTATGGTCTTTTGCCCACACCGTATCATCGTTGATACATCTTGTGCAGTAACCTGGAAACTACCATCTCCAATACAAGCAATGACACGCTTGTTTGGTATGGCTTGAGCATAGCCGAGAGTAGCACCTACTGACCAACCAATTGATCCGTATTGCATCTGGAATTCGTATCCGCATCCTTCAGGGAGCTTCAGCTTCTGACAGTTAAACNAGGAATCTCCGGTCTCAGCAACCACAGCAGTCTCGGAAGAGAGCAGCTTCTGAATGTGTTGGAACAACACATTAACCCTCAAAGGCTCCTTGGGGCTCTCTCTCAAAGGCTTTCCTTCTGGGACATAGATCCTGTGGTAATTCTCATACGCAGTGTTGTTATGCTTAATTCGTTTAGCCAATTTGCTAAGAAAATCCTTCATCAGAACACACCCAAACGCAGGTCCGTTACCGATAGTAACCCGATCGGGTTGCACAATGATTGATTTCTCCTTCTTGAGAAGCAGAGAGTACCCAACGGAACTGTAATCGTTGAAAACAGGACCTGCAAACAAATAAGCATCCGCAGATTCAACAATCTCAGCACAGAAAGCTGTGCTCACAGCTCCCCAATACGTCCCAATGAAATGCTTGTGGTGCTCAGGTACTTGTCCTTTAGCAGATGGCATCACAGCAACACCATACCCAGAAGCATCAGCAAGCTCAACAAAAGCATCCATGGCTTTCGCAACTCTCATTTTCGGTCCACCAACAAGAACTGGTTTCACAGCTTTGTTCAAGAACTCAGTAGCTGCTTCCACCGCCGCATCTAAACCCACCTGATTGCTCACCTTAGGCGCGAGTATGAACGGAACAGGATGGCGACTGAAAGCCGGAAGAGGAATCGAAGGCAAATTGCAGCTTATACTGATGTAAACAGGTTTGCTTTCTATCAAAGCAGTCGAGATCGCAGTATCGATGAGTTCATGTGCATCTTCCAAGTTATTGATCACAGCTTGATAACAAGTAACAGCCTGGAAACACTTAAGCTCCTGAGTGAAATCAGGTAAACCAATCGTATGGTGAAGAATCCTGTTGGTACCGTAATCGTTTGAGTTTGGACCACCGACGATGCAAATCAGTGGCAGATTCTCACTGTAAGCACCGGCGATCGCGTTCAATACACTCAATCCGCCAACGGTGAACGTCACCACGCACGCCCCGACTCCACGCGATCTCGCGTAACCGTCCGCCGCGTATCCGGCGTTGAGCTCGTTGCAGCAACCGATCAGCTTGAGGTTTGGCTCGGCGATCAAGTGGTCGAGAAGCGTTAGGTTGAAATCTCCGGGAACGGAAAAGACGTCGGTGACGCCGATCTCGACTAAACGCCTCGCTAGGTAACGGCCAAGGGTAGCGTCGCAGGGGCTGATGATGGTTGAGTGAGGTGGACTCGACTTTTGAACGGTGGAGACGCCGTTATTTGGAGGACCGCCGATATCGCCGGTCGTCGGATAACACGCGTCGATGGCTCCGATTTTAGCGTCCATATTAGTTTGCTCGTTTTAGTTTTGCTTAATCAATCAAAGCTACGAGAAAATGGAAAGAAAAGAAACTGTGAATTTTCTCAGACAAAATTAGTGGAATATAAAAGGACACTGAGAAACCGCCATTAGAGAGACGTAAAACAACGGTGCGATTATAAAAGTAATCAGAGAGAAAACAACGGTGGAATAAAGGTTGTAGTGTGAGGCGGTTTAATCTTAGCCGCAGATATTTCTTGTAGCTATGAGGATTAACACGTGTACGTATATCATTGGATATTGGAGAACACATTCACGTTTAAAATAGTCCGTGTGAGAGGCAGAGAATAATTACCATCATGCGCAGCCCTCACCGAATAGGGCCCCAATCAGAGAGAGATATTTTTAGACGGTTTGCTATTTGACCCGACCCGACCCGGAGTGAAGAAAAGAACAGTCACGTGCACCCACGTGATACAAAAAAAAACTCTCCCGCTCTTCATGACTTTTCAAAACCCTAATAGACACATCTTTTCCCTCTCACAAACACACCTCAAAATCCCTTAGCGCCGACTTTTCCCGCCTCGCTTCCTCTATTACAAAATCCTTTATAGATAGATCTCCCCAAATTAATCCTCAATCACAGATCTTCTTCCACAA